CGGTAAACGGTGCGCATATTACTGATTCGAGTTTGGATGTCAGTGCACCAGAGGTGCACTATGAAGGTGAGGGACCAGGAATTCACATTCCATGCCCGGGTCGCAGGTCTAGCAAGTCAGATTCCTTGGTACCTTTCTCACACCGCGTCGGCTTTCAAGTCAGCACGTCATGTGCTACCAACCCCATTGGGTTAATTCATATGTCATGTGAATTGTCCTTTTTGAATAATAAAAAAATACTATTTGTATTACAATATTGCTTGTAATAGCGCAATATTTTCAAGACATTCAGATGGTCGACAGAGTGAAGTACTCAATGCGAGATGTCTCTACATCTCAGGTGAATCTCAAGTGGCGACACGAATAAATCGCCCTGTTCCGAATTTTTCTGGGATATCTCCGTGCTGTGCCAGCGCGTACAACCAGACATTTTAAAGACAGCCATTTTGAAGTATCGAAAAACGTTCGACTGAAGATTCTTTGGGATGTCTCATGAAGCCCTTGAGACAGTTCGTCCTGTTGGAAACAACCCTAGAATGTCTCTGCACTGTCTGGGGCTCGACTCACGACCTGTGCACGGAGGACACGTGTTTCAGATGCATGACCTCGACAAGAGATGTCACCCCGGAGTTCTCACCTTCAAATTCATATATTTTAAAAATATCTTTTGCTTAGTTCATGGTGGCTTTGGAGTTCCGAATACCAAATTTATACATGTTTTAAGAATCAGATTCCTTGAAACATGGAAATTTAGGCATCATCCACACTGTCTTGCTAGAAGTTGGGCCCTACTCGTGAACATGGCCATTGCTTCACCTGTCAAAATGGTTCTGGGTTCCACTTGGCAAAACCGACAGCCTGAATCCAGTCTGACCAGGAGAGGTTACCTGGGCGCCCACAATGCTTCACTATGACATTACGCATCACGTTTCTAGGGGAGATCCAGAAATATTGTGGTAGCTAGGATGGACTTTCCCCCAAAATGTTAGTTACCTTGCCCTGATGTTCCAGACCTTGGTTAGCCCTTATATATCTGTTAGTGTGGTTACCGAGGCTGACCGAATCAAGAGGTTAGGAAAAAATCAGGTTTTTTAGATTAAAAAAATCATGATTTTTGCCAACTCTGGTTACAATGGACAATATAAATAAATCGGGGACTAATGCGTGACCGTGAAGAGCAAAAACAATTGGCGATAGCTCATGGTACCGATACTTTTTATGTCACATGGAAAGTTTTCGGGGATGGCCGTAACCCCAAAAAATAAGCACATGCGCAGTACATTGTTCCCGCGTACATGATCCTCGGAAATAAACATAAATAACGGGTTGTTGTAAGGTTCTCATGTGTTACAGGTGCCACACCCACGGAAATTCATCGCGAGGTGTTGGCAGTGTATGTCGACATTCAAAAGGGAGGCATTCCCGGGGTCGCTCACGAGCGGCTTTTTCTCTTGCTGACTCGGCTCGGCCACGAGCCGAGTCTCCGAAGAAACAGATGAATCTAAATGACATCCTTGCGACGTTACCGCAACGTCATTTAGATCAAGCCACGTTTCAGCAACGTTGCATGGACGTAATGTTTTGCTTGGGCTGTGTGATTTAGAAATTTGCCGATATGGTTGGAGCAACGCCCGCATACATTTTCCTCCACCTAGCTTCAAATGACTTTCGCCTTTTCTACCCACTGAAAGCTTGGTCACCTGAAGGCAGATTTGAGAGGACATCATAGAACATCATATCACGAGGATGTTCCATGCCCTCCGGCGGTGATTACAACACAAGCCTATCTATGTCATCTATGTCACGGGGATGCTGAAATTGGTATCGTGGTGGGACACGGACCTAAACGTGTATGAAGGCTGTGCGGATAAATGATAAATGAGAGGTGACATAAACTTACCTGCAAAATTGTGTCTAAATCTATATCCATTTTCCCCCTATTTATTGAATGTCCCTCTTAGTTTCGATAGTACGTATGCATATCTTCATGAATTTCCTTCCTGCAATCTAAGCATGTACGCGGGATGAATTTTAGACCATTCATATGAGCAATAAAATTCATTAGAAAATGGACTTGGAACAAAGTGAATCTGATAATCAGAGTAAAAAGGAAAATGCTATAATTCTCTTAGGATAAGAGTTCGATGTGTCAAATTATACTCTGTAGAATATTATGCAGGGGCAATTTACAATGCGATAGGAATTTCAAGAGGCAGTACCTACGTGGTAGGCGATCGTGCGCCTGAAAAAAACGGTTCACGAAATAAGATGCGTTGGACAGTAGACACTCAGGTTATCTGTGATCACGCAACGTCATACCAGATCTGTGATCAGTTCAACGTCATACCAGAGGAGATGTGCCATAAAGCATGCAAACAGGTGTCGAAACGTTTTTGCATGTAGACTGTGCCCGGGTGGATCATCGTCACATGAGGGCGATGTCATGCATTTGCGTCGACGTATTTGTTTCTTTTTTGAATATCAATCTTGTGTCTAGTTGGCTACTTGATTCACGTCGTTTGGTAAAAACGTATGTAATAGTTCCAAAGGTATAGCGTTATAAGTGTGAATCATTACTTCTGCCTCACCTTGTATATAGACGATTGCGATCGACTTAATTCTATGAAAGTTTTCAGAAGTAATAGAAACTTGTCTGGTACACAAATAGTTCTCGGGGTGCTCATTTCAGGGAAAAATATATCTTTTAGGGAACGTCCCTTGAAGCCACATTTTTTGGGGGAGTAGTCATTCCCAAAAATTTATTTGCTTCAGGGAAGTAATCATTATCGTGGCATTACAAAAAGTTCTCTACGCAGAGAAAATCACGAAAGGGAAGTCTCTGGAGACGGCTAAGGCCAGAATGCTGAAACCTCCTTTAGTTAACGACCCTTTGGGAATAGATGGACTCATGGGGGAAAAGAGCTCTTTAGCTTAAAGGCCCCTTTATCTCCCCTAAATGAGGTTTTGTGCATTCGGATCTACGTCTCTCCACCCCATCGAAGATACCTCAAATTGGTTGCAGCTATCTTACAGATTACAGCTATCTTACTTCACGAATAAAAAATATTATGCGACCAAGTCCAATGGTGGCAATCGCCCCTAGTTTCTACCTTTGACGTAGGCTCTGCTGGGGGGGGGATACCCCCTGCAAGATGCTACCTTTCGAGTAAAGCCCTGGGGGGCTTTCTTAGGAAGGGGGCAGTTTCTCGCAAATATTCACCTCAGCAAAAGTCTTCGAGTTTTATGCATATGTATAATACAATCGCCGCTCGTTATAACGAACTCGAAGGGACAGGCTAAAAAATTTTATTATGAGGAAAGTTCGTTATAGGGAATTCCCCACATTTCGCTTGAAAAAAAAGAGGCCCCCTAAACATTTAGTTCCAAAAAAAAAGGATGCAGTTGTCCTTAATGAAAATATGCGAAGGTCTGAGCGCGTATCGCATTCCAAAAGTACAGCTTCCGAGTTGTGTGTATGTACATAAATGGCGTGCACAGAAGCGTGTCCTTATGTAGGTGTAATAAAAATCGGACGAGTCACGAACGCTGCGTATTCATCGGAAACAAAGTCCCAAATGGTTCTCAGCTGCGTGCGTTCCTGGAGGATTCTTTGAGCCATGGTCTGCAGAGCACTCCATGCATTCCCTTATGACTGAAGAGTAGCCCCGGAGACAGTCGAAGGCTTCGATTGTCTGATCGAGCAGAATTCTAGACTCTGCTTGACCCTGAACCTGAAGATCCTGGAGATGATTGACTGGTTGACGTCATTCCTTTACTCCCCACGACCACATCAATAAGTGGACATGCTAAACTTGGATACGAGATGACATTTTCCGGGAATGCGCTAAAGAGCTCCTGACGTGCTGCAGATTTAAACTTCGTAATACGGAAGTTTTGTTCCTTCGGACGAAAAAGAGTTCGTAAAACCGAACGGTTCGTTATTGAGAAACTTTTCAACATGAATGTGAATGGGAAAACGGCCGGGAACTTGAAAAAAAAAGCATAATTAAGAAAATTCGTTATCTAGAAGCTCGTTATATCGGGTGTCGAATGTACGAGGGTTTATGGAACTTTCGTTGAAAGACATTTCGCACCTCATCGTACTTCACGCTACGCAGATGAAGTTTAACTACTATCCTCTCTTGCAGGAACAGCATTTTTTTAATTAGTATCCCTCAACTTTTCCAATTCTAATCAATTGCTGCATCAGGCGAACCTGTAATAGAATAAATTTCAACGTTATACATGAAAATATATAAAATTTTACGATCACCCTTTGCCGCTGACGAGAGGAGCCATCCGACCCAGTCACTTGAGATCCATTACATTGTCTCGGTCTGGCAATTTGGTAATAAATGACATAACTAGGGGTGGATTTATACAATACAACCACGCGCGAACCCTATCGCAAAACTCTTATCGCGAAAGATCTCAGTGCGACCATATATTTTCCCGAGATTAGGTCATATCCTTGGACCTGCTCTTAATTGAAGGCACATCCCTGACCGACACTGTCGCTCAATGGATGTTGAGTGACCTAGAACGATAAGACTCAGAAATTTTGAACTTTTTTGCATTTATTCAAAGTTGGTCACATAGCACTATGTAATCTCTGTACATGAAAGCAAATGCTTGCCCATAGGGTGCATTAGATCAAATTCAGTGAAAAGAGGAGTGTGAATACCGGATGCGCATTTCACGCGTACGCCAAGCAATCCTGTCTATGCGGCCGGGGGCAGCTGCTTTCCTCACTATATATTAATACTATGGATCCGTCAGCCGGCAGGGCTTGGATGATTTCGTGGAAGACGGGCTCCCCGACCCAGGCGGAAAGCTGCGCGTGCGCATTAGGTCGTGTTGTCCGGTCGCTATGGTTACTGCTGACAGACGGAATGAAAAAAGTAGTTACAGAGCTACCGCAACATCTGGCATTTCCCCATAGTACCAATGGGAATGCCAGATAATTACACCAGATGTCGTGAAACAGGAAGAAAACATGCTTGATCAATTTCAAATTTCTTTTAATCTGACGATTCCACGGCAGGAGGAAGACATTCATTTGAAGATTTTTCCTTGGTTGAATGGTCGACCATCCGCATCGGTACCAGTCCAAGAGAAGTACTGCTTCACCAGCTGCTTGGTTTCTTCTTTATCCGGATCCAATTTTGTCCAGGAGTAGGATTCATAATCTATTTGCCAATCCTCTGACAACTAAACAGATAAATAGGTTGGGATCTGATTGAACATGATACTGAAAATGAAAAGATGAAAACTTTTCTTCTCAGCTGCTACTTTCTTAAATGTCAGATATAATAATTTTTATCAAATGATAGAATATTTCCAAGCTCTCCAGAGATGACATGGTTTCATTTTATTATAACTAAATTCTAAATTAAAATTGTTTAAAAACTGATTACAGCTTTCAAGATTCATGAGCATTTAACATTTATTGTCCAAATTATGCTATAAGTATGGAAAAAAGATGCAATTCAGTATTTTGAATTCCACAGAGCTTATGAAACAAGTACATGCATTCAAAGATATATCTAATAAATGCTTAATTCAATTTTAAATTCTAAGAAAAAAAATTTGTAACTTTAGTTATGCTAGGAACCACAACCTTATTTTCCATCATTATTTTCTAGACAGATTTTAGAAATAATTTTAAACTTAACTTGCTAAAAGCAAAAATGTAAAAAATAGTAACTTTCTTCAATTCAAGAAACTTGAAAAACATATTGGATGAGTCAGAATTGCCTGAATTCAAACTTAAAAATAAGCAATAAATAAGAAATTTTGCTTGAGTAATGTGGGAAAAGTTGCTTTTGTCCCAGGAGTAATTTTTTCCTTCCCTCCTAATATTTTTAAGGGTTTCTCATAACCCTCATTAGCCACCATTGTTCTTTACAGCTAAATCTTGGTTAACGGTGCAACAAAATTCAAGAAATTTACACCACTTGACCAGAAATGACTCAGCTATTAAACACCTATTCTTTTCTTTTCCTGATAATCCATGGGTACCCCCCTCATACCAGCTACTGATACAGTAGCAGGTACTTTCAAGGGCATAAGTACAGTCTGGGCATGTATAGACTTTGGCAAATTCTTGTTCTTGCTGTCTTGCTTTGGCAATTTCTTTCCCACTCAAAGATAACATATCCTTACAAATTTGTGATTCTCAACTCCAAGATGAGAATAATAAGAAAAAACATAGCCAGAGAATAAATTCCTACTTAGCATCTGATGCATTCAAATAAGGAAAAAAATAATTTTCTTGAAATATCCAGAAAATAGAAATATACAAGGGAAAACAAACAAGCTACAAAGGAGCCTGGCTGTTTGGTCTTATGGTCTGTGCTCAATCTTGTCGCAAAGATATTCAGACATAATGGCAGATCCTCATGGCCTGCAGATCAAAGTTCTACAGGGTGTTCAGTTTTACCAGTTAACCCAAAGAAATGCAAATAAAAAAAGAAGTAGCCACCACCATGCTCAATACACAACTTTCAACCAGTGTTGTTACAGTCTATGTCCAATCACATACTTTGCTGTGCACGCTATTGTATTGAGCATGGCAGTGGTCAATTCCAGCATAATGTTATGATGTGTTGTGACTGTGATTGAAATTTTGCACTTAATGTCTTGGTTCTCAGATCAAGTGTATGTCTGATTTACAGTTCTTTTTTTTATTTGCATTTTCTTGGGTTAACTGATAAAATGAACACCATGTAGAACTACAATTCAATTATTGTGATGGATAAAAGGCTCACCTTGAAGGCCAATTCATGGCCTCGCCAAACCCAGATACCAGAGATGGTACTGTTGTTGTTTTCTCCAAAGAGGCACATTGATGCAAAAGCATGCTTCCTCATCTTGTCAAGGCGCTGGTACATCCCTACAATTTTGCATAATTAGTTCATTTAATACTCTCTGCAGAAGATTCGGCTACATCATGAATAAAATAGTCAGTTTGAAAACTCACCTGAAATGAGATTGCAACTCATGAAGACTTGAGTAAGTTCATCATTATAGTTGTAATCACCTTTCCATATGGAGTAGTTCTCTTTATCAAATTTCTCCCAGAAGTAAGGGATGGACTTGGATTCATCTTCATTAGAGTAAACCCTCTTGAAATCATCCATCACAAAAGTTCTATAAACAAATATAGAAAAAAAATTAACTGATGCTATACTATGCCCACACATGGAGAGCCATATCACTCTTTTTTGTTTCTCACCCCTTGGGGAAGTCTTCAAAAGGATCTTTCTTCTTCGGCTCTAGGGATAAGGCCAACTCTGTCTCATCCAAAGGTTCGGCTTCTTCCTCCTCCTCCTTCTTCTTGGCTTTCTGTGTTTTCTTCTTCTCTCCTTCCCCTCCTCCTTCACTTTTCTTTGAGGTCTTATCTTTCCCTTTTTCTTTTTTCCCCCCTTTACCTGCATCCTGACCACCACTGCTACCACCCATCTTAGCTTGCATCTCTGCAAATTTCTTACTGTCAAACTCAGCCATTTTCTGACACAATGTCACCTCTCCAATAACCTTCTTCACCTGGGGTTGATTCACCATAGTAGTGAACCACCTTGTCACATTCTTGAATGATTCTCTGTAAAAGAAATTCAGAAGAGTGGAGGGAGCTCAACCTTTATGTGATACAATAGTCTTCTAATGGGTGTAAACAGGATCAACTGTTAAATTCCTATGGCAATTCTGAAATAAGGCCTCCAGTCCTGCATCCTTCAATATCATTTTCCAAAACGTAAAATGCCCCAAAATCAATTATCACTTCAAACACAGGTGTGCTGAGACTTTCATATACAATCTGCATCTCTACTACATCATATAGTTTGTATGCTGAACTGCTGTATATACAGACTTTCTGGCCATCCTGTACATCTTTCACATTTACCAGCCATATAGTTGAGTCACTGAGAGTATGGGTAGTGGAAGGAGAAGAAAAGAAATAAGAAATGAGCCATTTAGGGTCTCCCTGGCCCTTGTTGGTGAATTAACTCCAACCATCAAAAATTTTTATTTCGATCTTATCATGACATTCTGACAAGGATGCCCCATGAGTCTTCTCTACAGCAGTACATCAAGTTCAACAAATATGAAGAAAAGGAAGACAGGCAGGCTCGTTATTCTACCGGGTGAATCTTCAGAGGATGCGTGAAATGGCATTACATTTTATAATAACCATTCCTGCTGTCCTAACCAGAAATCCTCGATTCAGGATCATGATGGTCTTTGGAATTAAGCCCTGCACATGCTACATGTCAGCCAAATGTTTCAACTCAACCATTAGGCAGTTTCTTAATTCTCAAGCTCCATCCTATGGTTGAACTTTCCCCCAATTTTTTTTAATTTTGCCTCTAGAATAGGACTATGGAGAAGAGTATGCATCTGGATAGGAATCTCATTTATGCATATTATCTTTGAAAAGATTGATTAAAGACCTGAGATGGCAGGCAATCTCTAGATAATGCATAATCATACTTATACATAGTATTGATAGTTTATGCAGTAATCTGAAATAATGGGGGCTACAAGTATCAGACTCTCAATATGAGAGGAGGGCACAGTATTGCACCTCCATATCTTCCTGAAAGAAATAGAAAAATAGAGGCTACTTTTTTTTGTTGCTTGAGTTGGGTCACACCATGAAGCTTAGTAGGCAATTAGGTTTCAGGTTAGGTAAATACCCAAATTCAAATTGAATTGATCGGGTTTGGTTTTGAAAAATTAGTCCATGCAGGCCTTTACTTTGCACCAAGATTTTTCATGATGCAGAGGTACCTCTGTAATCAACAATTATCTTCAAGATACTCCACCCATCTCTGAAAGTACACATAGCACTACAAAATTTAATTCAAAAAGAAGAGGGACAAATTAAGAACATGTGTTTGCATATAAATGATATATTTTTGCACCTTTTGCACCAAGAAATTGAGCCTACAATGGTAGTTTTTTTTTCTCTCCTAATGTGTCCAAGTGGCAAGATATCAGAGGCTTACAACTTTTCAGAGTTTTGAAGGTGAACTATGACAGTCCCTATTGCTTTAAAAGGGATCAACATTATAAAACAGGCTGAGAAACTATTATCAAGAGGCCTCAAAGAATTACCAGGGGTAAGTAATCACTGTGGCCCACAATAAAATTAAACCAATCTTAAACCAGATGTCAAGCAATGGATTACTAAGTCTATAATAACTCCATGGAATGCAATGAACTGGTCAATCCTACCGATTATTGAACCTTGTTTTTTTGTATTTAAAAATTCCATAGTGAAATGGCAAAAACATGGCTAAGAAGCACAGCTTCCTTTTAGACACCAATTACCTTAGTGAAGGCATTATTCCTTGTAAATGTCAAAAAACATGGAAATGTTAATTTGAAGGTATGTGAGTAGTCTATCTTCCAGTGTACAAAATAAAGTCCTGCCACAGGAGTACAGATGTGCATGCCTGCTCACTCACGAGCCAGCAGTAAATGCAGGTTCTCATGTAATGTTTTATGTTAAGTTGTAAACTGTACAAATGCATGGAATTGACTGATATGTATCCTTGAAAAGCATTTAAGCTCTCCTGGAAATAAGATGTCAGCCAGTGCTCCTGCAGGTGAAAGCCAATGGAATAATGTTCACCAAAAAGGAGACACTGATATACCATTCAGGTATTAAGGAAGTCAGAGAAGAGACCTTGGCTAGTCTTCTCTACCTCTGGTTGGTTACACACAGAGCTAAGAGAAAGATTAGCTTTGCGTGCCGTATATTCAGAGGATATTAGCTTCATGTGCCATGTATTCAGAGGAGAAAGAGCAAGTAACATTTCTCTCATACCTCACTCACCTAAACTTTGGATCCAAGACATGTGTGTAGAGATGCAAGAGAGTGCAGCACACAATAACATCAGCTAAGGATACCCTCTCTGTGACCAAGAATGTACGGTGGAGAAGATGATTGTCAAGAACTCCCAATGCTCTCTTTATCTCTTTTTTGGCATCTTCAGTCTCCTAGAAACCACCAGAAGTAAAAATTTTAGCAAAGACTCCTACAAATCATTAATGTTCCCATAGAGCACCAAGTGAAATATTCCTGGATTGTAGGGATCAGAACTTCATAAGACAATCAAAGGTCCTGAATTACCTCATTGGCCCAGACAGATTGTCATCATATCCCAATAGTCATGCATCTTAGAAACTCTTTCTCATTCTAGCTGTGATATACCTAAAATTTACAAATGTTTAGATGATTAATGTACACTTGCTTAGCAAATAATTAAATTTCACACACAAATAGTTGCAACACGTGTATGACAGACCTGCTTGTTGTACTGAATGATGCCCAGACAAGGATAAACCCATATGCATGATGAAGGGTATATCTCATGCTGAGCAAAACTCAGCCACTGGATCACCTGGGCTTGCTCAGATACAGCCTTTCCCCTCAGTTCTTCATTTGAAACTGTAAAGAAAGATAATGAATGTCAGTGCGTGGTCATCCTGAGAAAATATGCCAAATGGAAGGCATGAATACATATGGGATGACTTGAAACAATTGCCCCTCCACCCATAGCATGAACAGGTAAACCTGAATCTGAAGTATATGATATAGGAAACTGCCATCGCCAATACATGGAAAGCAAAAGTGTGGATGCAATTAGTAAATTGTGCTCCCTTGGAATCATCCACCATTTGGAACATGAAGTAGATAAATAAAAGAACTTAAACTTTCCAACAGTGTGATTCAGCTCTGATAAAACTTTCCTAACTTTCACAAGCCAAGCAACATTAATTCTTGCCCTGTCCCCCCCTACAGCCAAAACAAAGTTATAGCACAAATAGCTTAGTTACAAATGCATCTAGGGTATTACAGTGAGAGTGGGAGTAGTAGATGGAAGCTCCAATGAAGGGGAGGGAGGGGATACTAGATGGAAACTTTGGCAAAAGAAAAACAAAGAGGTCCCCCTTGCACAACTGCAAAATTTACTCACTATTAATGAGTGGAAACTTAACAGGCCATGTATGATTACTGCCACCATTGGGTTTCTGACTCAAGCTGAGGACAAGGGAGAGGCAACCATTTGATCATCCAGTATGTGTCTAGACTAAGATTACCTCCACAACAAGTGACCGACTCAACGAGTAGATCAGGCACAAGCTAAAGTCCACATTGACATACAATACACACATTCTAAGAGCACAAGTATTGTTCAGGGACCCAGCTGTCTTAGAGCATGACAATAATGGGATGCATAAACTGAAACTACAAAAATAAGGAATTTCTCTTTGAAAAATGAGGGAAAAAATCAGTATATGTGGTAAAGCAACTGATTTAAGATGTGAGTGAAGCCAAGATACCATAAAATAGCAAGAGTAACTTGTCTATGGAAAATTGCCTTCCAGAGGATATGTCCTATATTCTACAGCCTGGATTTTAGAGTCTCCCACAATTGTTCCAGGCTGGGCTTTTACATGAGTGGTTCCTTATCACCTTATCTTCTCTCAAGCTATTCATATTTGGATGAGTATTGCATTTGAGTTCAGCAAAGGACCCTTGAGAATTGTCTTGTTGATGTTGACAAATAAGGAAAGCCATGCAATTTTGACATTTCTACAGTAGGAAATTATTCTTCAGTCCAAGAATAGAGTAAGTAAGGAATGTTTACCTTTGCGCCAGGGAACTGAATCTGAGCTCTCTTGCGAGGAGAGCACACCACAATTATCATTCTTCAGAATGAAAAAGAATTATTGTTTTGCTAAATTTTCAAAACTGCATATTCACCCACTTGTCAGATCATCAATGATTTCATCAAATTCAGTTTTGAAGCCAAAACTGGGCAAACTCCCTTTTCATTTCCTTCTCTTATTTCTCATACATTCTCCAACATGGTGTATTCACTTCATTCCAGATATCACTTACTTATACTTTATTTGCTACTTGCACTACTTAAATGTATATCAATATGGAATAAGAAAGACCAAGTGTGATGGTTTAACTGATGAGTAACTTTCTCACAAACTACACCAGTTAGAAGACCTAAACTTTAAAAATATAAATTGGGTTTATATTTAGTAGGCCTACAAGGGCTTACATTAAGATTAACAAGAGTGTACAAAGTCAATCAGGAGTTCACACTGAACTCTGTATGACAAAAAAGTAGCTAGGGCTTACTGAGCATAAGGTTTCTGTCACTAATGCTGAAACCTTCAACTAACCATAGTAAGCAATGGCATCGCTCTCAGTGATGCAAGTCCCATCCTTTGCTTCAAATGCAGGAACCTGAAAGTAAACAACATGCATTAAGGTACATCTCAAGAATATGTCTCATTCTACATTACTGCAAGACTACTTTGCTTGACCAAAACATTAAACTGATACTTCTACTGCTCTCACAGATATCTGATCAAATATGCTTCCCACATTCAACCAATTGCATAGGAACTACCTAAGCACAGCAGTTCTGAGCTACATGATAAATTCTCTCCAAGCAAGCAACAAGGCCATAGATGATGAACCTGTCCCTTTCTTCCAGTGCTTTCACATTCACTTTACACAACCTAACCTCCCTTCTCTAGTCCCTAGCTGTTTTTTTTTTTGGCTTTTTCTTTTCTACTGAAGTGCTGTACTTGGCAGAATATTCTGACTTCTTGTGGCCAGGTGCCAGAGTCAAATTTAAAAATGCCAACCGCAAGTGATAAACACTGCTGCACATCCACGTCAGCAATGAACGGAGTACGTTACGATACACATGAACATAGAGCTGTTAGCCTAATATAACCTACAAGTGCACTCACTTTCCCAAGAGGGAACTTCCTCAAGAAGCTCTCAGAGCGGTTTGTCTCCCCTAAGACAAATTTCTCGTGGAGTTTCACATCCGCCCCGGAATAACTTGCAGCAATCAGTATCTTGTACGCTCGAAAGTTTTCAAGATTGGTGTACAGCACCTGCCCGGAAATACAACCTCCACATCAGTCGGAGCCAGAGTAACAGTCTTCAATTGTCTCTAAAGAGTGCTGAAAGTTAGGAAAGAGAATAAAATATTAAAAACGAGACATTACCCCAGACGCCATGCCCACCACGTTGCCGGTGATGAAAAGAGAAAGGTAGTGCTCCTACGGACGCATTTGATGGTAGTTTGAGGGAGCAGTAACCGCGCCGGGTTGGGCCTTCTGTTCTTGTATCCACAACACGACCGATGGATGATCAGGAAAGATTTCAGGCATGACATCGCCAGGATCTTTCATTCCTTTTCATGGAGCGGGTTGTTTTAGGACCATGAACTATACCGTTTAGGTAGTCTCTCTTTGGGCAGAAGGTGGTGCAGGGTTTCGGGTTATACTAAATCAGCCCGTGTAGGACTCTACTGTGAAATGGCCGTCGTGTACATACATGGCGTTTGCCCGTGGAGTGTACAGTAAGTAAAGAAATGGTACCAATGAAAAATTGTCATTTGCAGTTAATACATTGCTACAAGTAGAGATAGTTGCATACCAATCGGAAGAAGAAAATCTTGCATGACACGTGAGGATTTTCATCCCTGTTGAACAAACACAGCCCCACAAGAAATTTCCGAACTTGTTCGAAATTCCCGCTGCCTGCCTGCACACAGGCTCGATGACTCGGTCGCCACTAAGTAACATGTTTTACGTGGGGGTAGGAGGTGGCAACCCCCTTGCAATTCTTTAAGGCAGTGGTTCTTAACCTTTTCCATGTCGCGACTCATCAAGTCCTCTTCCCATCTTTATGCGACCCACAAATATAGAAACGTCCAGAAATATTGAAACCGTGTGACTCAAAATAAATATGATTTAATTTTGTAAATACGGAAATGACGCTCTCTTCGCTCTGGTGATTTCTTCGTTTTCCCTTTCTGTTTCCTCTTCGATCTTTCAAAAAAAGATCAAAGAGGAAACTCCACTGGTTTATCCTGCAATGTTGGGTGATTTCGATCTAAATGCTACATCGATTTTGAAGGTTTCATGGATGTTTGGCCAGCTGTTTGCCGCAAACTTAGCATTCTGGTTTCATACTTTGTGACTCTGTGAAACCACAATGAAGGTATTGTTAAACAATGAAGGTAGGAAGTTTGAAGTTTAAAGCAGTTTCCCCGTTGTAGTGAATTCTGTAAGAAACTGGAAGATATTAATAGTATCCCACTCATATCATGATCATGTACCTCACTGAGGCCCATAATTCCATGGAAATCCTTGCATTGGTGAGTGGCTTTGAGGAAAACCTGCACCACCTTTGAAGGTGAAGTTTAAGGATTGAACTTTGTTTTTGCTCACCCCTGAACTCTGTCGCATTTATAACATGTTTTACTTCGGCTGCTCCCTTTATCATTGTCGTTGCTTTCAAGTTTTGAGAAGAAATTGGGAGGAGCCCCACGTGAAGAAGGATTGTGCAATTCTGCGAAGATATGACTTTGTTCCATTCTCCTCCTTATATGCGACTTCCCCCCAGCCAAGGGCGGCGCCATATTTAAAACGTGCCAATCTAAGTGTTAGTGTACAAAGCGATTAGTTCCTGTAGCAGAGAAACGAAATCGAAAATAAGCATCGGTTTCTGCCTGCAAAAAACAGCGTCACTCTTAACCACGGCACCTAGGAACCAGAGGGAATGCCAGAACTGACGAGGAATTCACCGGGGGTGAAGGTTAAGAGCAAGAATGATTAGAAAGTAATTTTAAAACTGCTCTTTCTTGGAATCGTTTGCCACCAAGCCTTCTCCCTGTGCTGCCTTCTTGTCTGGATTAATAGATTAGGTCGTTCCTGGTAAGTCAATATAGCCCTGAAGTTCGGTTTGGCACTTATGATTGATCTCTTTTTTCTCAATATCTCTCTTATCTCTTAATTCACTTCATTTTCTCGCTACCCACTTGGAAGACCATCGCCACCCACCATCGAGCATCGCAGTCCCATTTTTTTTCACCTTGTCCCCCTTGACTCATGAGCCAAAATACACTACTGTCGCCGTTGTTGTATGCTGACACTGAGGAACCCAGCTAATCAAGTTCATTCCATCCACCAGTGTCCGAGTGCCCTTAAGTTTGGGGGGGGGGGAGGAGTTCGAATTTCTCATGATCAATTTCTCAATTCTCAATTTCAAATGTCTCTGAATGCAAGAAGCCGTTATCAAATCATTAGAATCAGGAGCGTAAGGAAGGGGGGGGGGGGGGGTAGAACCCCCCATTGGGCTTTTCCCGGTCAGTGACACTGACAGGCGTATTTCAACCTTCCTTGGGAATTACAATTTTAGCTATGCCCCTTCGAGGAAAGTCTGATGTCCGTCCACAGACCCAAGATGCCAGACCATGATTTCTTTGAAAAGGTATATTCCGGGTAGTGGAGCTTGGCGTAGGGTTGGGGCGTCTACCAGGCCTCAACCCCCCCACTTGCCGATTTCCTGCCTACGCCACTGATTAGAAGAGCTACTCAACAGAAACGCGAAACGGTCCGAACAGGCGAAAAAGAGGAAATGAATCGGAGAAAAATGTTATGAAATTGTGGAAACGGAATTTAAACTCTAAATGATAAAGGCACATTCGACACCTGAAAAACTAAATTAATTTCGGGATTCAGCCCAAATTTCACTGCGCAGGTATGCAAAACTGGAAATTCGTTAACCTGCACATCAGCGGTTCCCAGACTTCTTTGAATCGCGACCCACTTGCTGAAGTACAAAAAATTTCGCGGCCCACCAGAATCCAGAACGAGGTATTTTCAAACTATGACGTGAAGAAAACCGATCGGCCTTTTCTACAGGGCATGTTTTATCCCGAACGGATGCGGATATAGTGATTTTTTATGCTGGGAAAATGTTCGCGACCCTCCTTGATACCTCTCGCGACCCACCAGTGGGTCGCGACCCATAGTTTGGGAACCGCTGCTGTACCTTATTCACGTCTTTTATCTGGATCGTCGTCATTCCTTTTTCAGAAAAAAATTCAGCAGCGTCACATGTGGTCACATGTGCAGGACGCTTCCTTGGCAGGTTCACTTTACTGACCTTCACGTGACCTTTACCTTTCACCTCCTATCTTTTGTGCCTTTCTAGCCTCGCTCTCAGGTCGTTCGCTCATGATATCCTTCTGCGCCCCCCACCCTTGGGGAGAGGGGGATGGCAGAAGTAGAGAGATACTATCATGAGCTAGGGTTGGAGGGGTTGAACCCCCCTCTCTTCCCGCTCCCCCTCCCCTCTGGCCCCTCCGATGCTACGCTGCTTATTTTGATTTTTATTAGTCTACTGGGCGGGAATCCGTCTCTCTATTTCTCACATACCATAATTATTGCGATAATTAATGTCCATTAATGACTATTCCCCTTTCTCAGCTGCTTTTGCCTCCAAACACCTGTTCTCCTGACGATTGGGCGCATTCGTCTTCTGTTGCCCATTGGGCAACAGAAGACGAATATTTGATGAATTGATAATTGATGAATAGAGGCAGTCTTTGTTTTATATGGGATTACTGATACTCTTACCCAGAGAGGATTACGGAGGAGGAAATTGACGACGTTTCAATCTGAGCAAGAGAGGATTCAATGGTTTATTCTTGTTGATAGATAAACGCTGCGAATGCAGACGATCAAAAAAAAAAGAAACAAGCGAAGGTGCAGGGTGTGAGTTATGAAGGTGTCTTGAAAATTTCAATCAATCGAAAGAAAAATGCATAAAATCGGTCCTGATTTTATAATGATAGTCAATGGTGGACGCTTGCCCAGGAACGCCGAAAAGGAAAGGGGGAGGGGGAAAGCTTGAGTAAGAGGAAACGGAAGGGGGAAAGTTGGTCAGTCGGCCGAAACGAGGAAATCTGGTAGGAAAAGAAGAAAATATGACGGAGTCTTAGCCCCCCTCGCTATCTTTCTCTTGAAGATAGCGAGGGGGGTTCCGCCTCCCCCCCCCCCCCCCCCCCCCCCCCCCCCCCCTAAAGGGGGGGGGGTTCCCCCCCCCCCCCCCCCCCCCCCCTCTCTCTCTCGACCCTCCTTACAAGCTCAAAAAAGGAGAATAGGGGAGCAAGCATGATATCCATACAGGGTAATTACTGCCCCGCATACGAAAATTAGCCAAGAGAGAGATGTTTCGAGGCGTAGGGCGCCGGGATAGGAAAGAGAAATAACAAAGAGCAGATATTGCTGAGTGGAGATCCTGAAGGAGGTATAGGAGAGATGACAAGGGGGAAGATGGAATGCTGAAGAGCGGGAGAGATGGGATAGTGTGATACTTCATTACGTTCCCATATATGAACGACCTACCGTAGATTCCCCGAGAGTCGAAACACAAGTAGCGCAAACTCATCGTATTTATTACTGTAGTTTAACCCTTCAGACACGAGCATGTGAGACCCAAACCTGTCAAGAAATACACGTGTCGTATGTCGGCCATGAGCATCTTTTACGGCTTCCTATGTAATATAAGCTCTTAGTCTTGACAAGGGAGTCTGATTTTCGGAATCCGTATGACAAAGCTAACAATGGGAATACCTCGTACAGCATTGTCTTTTTAACACCATCAGTCCCGCCATCTGAGATTACGGATGTGGTGCTAGGTCTAACATTTAGTCACGTAGTTCAATATACATCCAGTAGATGTCACTTGCTCTACTTTTAAGCGATAGAAGACAGCTCCGGCAACTTGTAAAAAAAATCTCACTGGAATGTCGATATTTTAAAGATTCTAAGCGTTGTTTGCAATCTGAATTTTTTTTCAAAGCCAATATGGCAGCCCGCAGGAGACATGTGCGTACCTGGTGTGATGAGGAAGAAATTAATGAAATTCTTGCAGACAGTGATTCCGATTATGATATTGATGATGGATTCAGTGACAGTGATGTTTGTGATAATAGTGAGAGCGATGGTGAGCTTGAACCTGCAGCAAAAAGACGTAAAACTACTGCCACGATTCAGCCTTCTGCTAGCACATCACAACAGAGCGATAGGGCAAGTGACAGTGATGATAGTGTAAATATTCCCTTTGAGCCATTTGTGAAACTTGTGAATGATGTGGCTCCTCAACTTGAGACATTCACCCACTAAGTGTCAGAAGTACCCATCCAGGTACTGCAGGGTGTGCCTGAGCCACAACAAAAAAGGACAAACCAGATACGTCTGCTTTTGCTGCAAGATCCCCTTACATAAGGGATATTATCTCACCAGATACCACACACTGCAGGAAAACTAGAGGAGTGAACTACACCCTGTGCAAATTTGAGCATGATTACTCTTATAGTTTCTGAAATATAAATTTTTAAATATC